TCACATAGCTTCTTAACATACATCACAGTAGTAGCAGGGTTCCCCAGAGAAACAAAAACTAACAGAATGCACATGTAGATAATCAAAGACAGAAAGAGAACATAGGTACATCGTACTTATTTATTTATTTTATGGAATTGGCTCATATGACTATGAAGACTGACAAATCTGTGACATTAGATGGGCGACTGGAGACCTGGAGAGAATGTCGGAGTCCCTGCAAAAGACAATGCTGCAGTGCAAATCCAAAGGCAGTCTAAAGACAGAATTCCCTTTTTTCCCAGGACCTCAGTTTTTTTCTCTTAAGGTCTTTAATGATGAAAAGTCAACCTACATTATGGATTGATCTCTTTCCCTCCAAATCTATTGATGAAAACAAATAACTTCACAGTGACATCCAGTCTGTCACTGTGGCAAATGGAAACCAAACATCTGAGTATAGTGACTCTAGTGAAGTTGACACATTAAAATTTACTACATTCATTAGAGCTACAGTGGCTCATAATTTATGCTTCTAACTGAATGGAAATAATACCCTTCTATGCTGGGACAGAAGTGTAAATGGACAAACTCTGATAATCCAGGGACATGAAATCACCCTTATTCTAGTCTCACCACAGTGTGCTTTGAAATCTCCATGGAGGTTCTATGCATCTCTGCATCCCAAGAAAGCTAGTGCTGTGCACTTTTTAGCATGATAGATGTTGTCTGTCCCTTCTGGCCCATCTTAGTTTTATTTTAGCCTGTGATCTGTCCTCACTTCATAGTCTGTGCCAGGTACCCTCTCACCCATTTGAGATCTCAACCAAGTGAGGAAGGATTAATTTTCTTTAGGCTCTGTGACACAGCTGAAATGCTTTTAGAAAAATATTACTCAAAAGTTAAGGAGAAGAAAGTATTGTCCTTAGCCTATGTGACATAGGATATGACCCCCAAGCTCAAGGACATCTGTCTTGGACTGATTACCACTGCTTTGTCTTGATCTGAGAATCACACTGTCCTTCAGATCTTTCACTGTGTCCCTGTGCCCTGCTATGACTTTTCTTGCTCAACGTGCTCAGTTTTCCAGTGTACCAAGAGCATCCTTCCCCAGGTTTAGGTCCTGGTAGGCGCCTCTTCGATGATAAGAATCTCTGTAGCTCCATCCTGGCAGAGTCCTATTATTATTCTGGAACACTGTGACCCAACCAAGCACCTTCACTGTTGGATCTATTTCTGGTCAAATTGCCTCTTCCTGAAGCAAAAAAGCCCTAGCTCATCCCCACATATCAGACTGAAAAACCTTCCTACAACTTCATTTCCCCTGAGAGTATTGGACTAAACTCTTGAAAATCACTCACCATGCATGTAGCACCACTTCCAAGCCCACTGGCAGGTTCCTGCTATCTGCTGTCATATACCTTGCTTGTACCTTGAGTTCCAGTTACTGTACTGTATTCTGTCAGAGAGACACCTAAGACTAGCGATTGCCCTCCACAGCTTCCTAGGACTTGAGCTTCTGCTGGCTGTGTAGTGGCAGAGCCTGCCTCAGGGTACTTGCAATTCTTTATTTAGGCCCAGGGTGTGCTCATTTTCCAGCATCAGTCATTGGACTTGTCTGCTTTCAGTAACAGGGAAGCCTGCCAATCCTCTTAGTCTAAGACCTTTCCTCTTTATTGAGGGGGTCCGTTTTAATAGTTGAGATAAAGATTTTAGAGGTCAGATGACCTGGGTTGCCATGTGAATTTAAGCAGGTTACATAACCCTGTGATCTGTTCTCACAGTGTTCTGGAAAGAAATAAATGACTGAGTACAGGCAAAAAGTTTAACATAGTGCTCATTAACTGGTCAGCACTCAATATCTATGACCTGTAGGACTTAAACTGTGGTCCTCATGTTCTACACACTTCTGCTCAGAAAGATAGTATGCTGGTTAATGTTTCCAAGCAGTTTTGTAGATAAAATAAAGCTCTTATTTATAGTGCTTGCTGATTTCCATGGTGTAAATACTACCCACACGGCCAATTTTCTTTTTTACTAATATAATGTCACTGAACATAGACTGAGACCACATTAGGACTTGTGAGCCAGTGAAATCAGGCTCCAGAACACCATGGACATTAGGGAACCCTAGTGCAATGGTTAGGCCTTTCCTACTCCTGTTATGATGAATTTCTTTCTAGCCCTTTGCCTCAATTGCTGCCTTTCCCCTCTCCCATGATCATTTGTTAGAGAGACACCTCCTTCACTCTCCTGGGTGTGATACTCGAAAAAACATGAACTAGTCTCATCTTTCCAAACAAGACGTTATGCATAGTTCTCAGCTGCAGACAAACATAACTTCCTCTATTGTGGATATAGGTTATTTTTATAATTTTTGATAATAATGGCTGCTCTTCTGGGAGCTTTCCAAAATTTCTCCTTATCTCACAGCTACTATGAACACCTGCCTATAGCTTTCACTTCTTACAAATAAATGGCCCCAGGTCTTCCATTTCTGTCTATTAAGACCAATATTTCCACAAATAACAGGATAAAATAAAAGAAGCATCTGTTTGTAGGTATTAGGGGCTTTCTGAAACAGCCAAGATTTGAGGGGTACAATCTTATGAGGAGCTGCGTGAGGCTTTTCCCACTGACAGTTGCTACATTGGCATGCAGCAAGGAGCTGAGAAGCCAGCCAAAAAGCAGAGCAGAACCCAAGAAACGCGTTAGCTACACATAGCTTCCATTCATCACAGATCTGGGGAACAAAAGTTGGAGATTAGGCCAATAGAGGCATTCAGATTTGGGAAACCAAAACCCAGAAGTACAGCAGAGGCATGGCAAGGTGAGGCCATTGTGAGCCAGATTCCTATTGAGGTTATAGGTTATTTTATTTTTTAAGTCATATA